GGCGATGATGTTATAACAAAAGCCAACCGACTCTACCATGCACGGATCCAGGTGCACCTGGAGCCCGAGGGAAAGGAGATGAGGGGGGACGTCGAGGTCGCACGCCATCCTGACAAGCCTCGCGGGCACGACATTGTCGAACCATGTCGTGAGATCCCAGCGGACGGCCGCGCTGGCCTGTCCTTCAAAGTTGGCCAGCTCTTGGGACAGCTCTCGCCTTAACGCTGCCTGCGGGGCAAGGCTATCTGTGATGGCGGTGTCTCAAACGCAATGCGCACCTGGGGCCAATCCTCCACGCACCTGCCCTGAATCTTACAATAAGCTAGATAAAATGTCCGGCGCTTACAACCAGACCTCTCGCTAGTTTTGCTTTCTGGACGGAGGGTGATGATCCCAAATAGAACTTGAGACTGCCGCGTTGTCACTCTTTCATGCTCCGTGACGCGGCCAACGAAGGCATCCATCGCTATGGGGCCAACATTAAGAACGCCACGAGGCCTCCAGTGGTCAACCCCGATCGCAGTCGTTTCCGAGAAAGCCACACAGACACAGCATTTTCAGCGAAGCTCCTCCAACGCCCCCCCATTCAATAAACAAGTCTGGAATGAGCTGACAGCCCAACGCTTCGCCCACAATTGCTCACGGTGTTTCATCATCTCAATGGGCAATTGGAGCACTCCGTCTTGCACGTTGACATTCTCCAATGGTGTACCTTCGTCTTGCTTCAGCCATGAGTTGCCTTCTTGCCCCCCAATTCGGGAATGCCTTGCTGATCCAATCTTTAATCGCCTTAGCAGAAGCAGTCCTAGCGCGATGCCACGCTCTCAGGAGGCTGACCAGGCACTGGTCAAACAACTCCTGGCAGCGATCGGGATCGGCAGAATTTGAATCAGTCGGCTGAGCCTGCCACTGGCCTGTAGTCTCTTCAGCTGGAAGACATGCAGCATGCTGGGGACCCAGCGACTGATATCAGGGAGTCGCATACTGCAGGAGCCGTGATTCGCAGCACCGCGCAACTCAAACGGCTTCTGGGACCGCATCGACGAGAACGTGATGTCAGATTCAGAGAACCACTGATTCTTAGCACGATGTTCAGTTAACATTGTACTGCGCGCACTCACAAAGTCACCGCGTCCATGATACAAGTGTTGTCTATGTTCACTTTCTGGCATGGTCTGCATATTCAAGTGTTCAGTAGGTCTAGACCATATCAGGTACCTAGCTGAGAGATCCTCTGAATCATGCTGCCGAACACGAGAAACAATCATACGATCATGAGGATTGTTTGCTGGTTGCTAACTACGCATCTCTGCCGACAAGTTCGACGACCAAGGAAGCGCAGGCCCCCCCAGCATCGTGAAAAGCCAAGGGGCTGCACCCTCTTTTCCATATCCTGCGACAGAGTCGCATGCGGAAGCCTCGCATGCGGGCGACAGTGGGTCTTGAACCTAGACGGTTGAAATCTACTCACCGTCAGAAACGGTGCAAGGATTTTGTAGGCGACAGCGTAGTCGATCTGCGTGCCCTTGCCCATACTGCACGTTTAGTCTACCCCTTCGGGTGGGATAGCTCTCGAATCTGTCATCTTCAGGAAATCACGCGATCCCATCAGCTCAATATCAACATTGAAACCACTGGTCAGGAACCAGGGGATGCTCAGGGAGTTGACGTTGTTGCTGATGTGTCTTATCTGCTTTGGACTTCATATTTTTACCTGGGGCGCCCAGGCCAGACACCACATATACATCCCCAACAGCCATCGCGCATTTCTGTATCCTAAGCTCGAGGAGCAGTCAGATATTGCCAGCGCCTACTTCACAGACCTGCCCCGAGTGCAAGAGAAACCGCTTCAAGAACATATTTTTGTGCACCGCAGCCCTCGCGCCCCCGTGCGCTCCTCCTCCAGGGGGCGGGGTGGAAGGAACATGGGGGCGCCACTTCTAATTGGCAGCGACAGCGCGCCTAGCCGACTTCAAATTGGCAGGGAGCTGGCGGTGTTCACGGAGCATAAAGATGCCAGTCTCCCCGTGAATCTCATACATAAGCCACTAAGCAAGAGAGCAGCAGTGATTCGTATTACACTTCAAGATTTTCGCTCCTCCGTCAAAGCTGCTGCTGTGGACTCTGTGCTGCGGCTGCCTTGAAGAGGTCCTTCAACTTGACTCCGGCAGACTGCGGAGCCTTGCTTCGTCGACCTGGTGTTCGTCTTCTGAGCAATTGGCTCCTCCGCTTCTACATCTTGGCGAATTGTTGAACCAATGCAAGAACGAGTCGCATGCCGTTCTTGACACCACCGACGTAATTGAGCTGCGTCCATAGCGTGAACTCAGGCACCTCTTCCACTTCCGCTGGAACTGGAATTTGAGCACCGTCAGACCTGGTAGCAGCGCCAGCCGCAGCACCATCAGCAGCACCTTGTCCGATAGGAGGTCGGTCCTTGACCGGCACCGTCACCTTCAGCGCGTTGGGGTGGTTGGGGTTGGGCCTGCTGTCGTTCGCGCTGACCCTGTTCCAGTTCACGTCGGGACAGGGGCCGACAGGGCAGGGCAAGGACAGGGGCCGACCATCCTTGCCAAGAGGACTCTGGCTGACCAGCCTTGACTGCCGCGGATCAGCGGTGTCTACTCTGTTCCAAGGGAACTAGAGCGCTTGGGCCAACATGGCTACGGGGGGAGGAAGAGGATGATGATGAGGAGGAGGAGGAGGAGGCGGAGGAGGAAGAGGAGGAGGCGGAGGAGGAGGAGGAGGAGGAGGAGGAGGAGGAGGAGGAGGAGAGGAGGACGAGGGGGATCGTCCCACGGGCCTGTTGGGTAGGCCAGCGCACCATATTGTAAATGATCCGCCATCCATCTGGAGCAATTTTCCAGAACTTGCTTGGATTTGTTGC